TTTCATCATTTTTTTTTATATATTTTTTTTGTCTTTTTGGGTCACAGCCGGTGATGCTCAGGGATTACTTCTGGCTCTGTACTCAGGAATTACTACTAGTGGTGCTCAGGGGACCATATGGGATGCTGGGGATCAAACCCGGGTTGGCCGCGTGCAATGCCCTACCTGCTGTATTATCATTTCTGCACCTCATCATTTCTTTAAAAAGCTTTCCAAATCTGACAAAGTGCTTGACCTTCCATGCCAAATAACAGCTGCAGCTCTCCCCTAACATACACCTAGATACGTAATGAGAGCTGCTGCTCAAATCCTGGGCACTGGCTCTTTCCAAGAAGTTTCTCACTCAATCCTCATACAATTCCTATAAGATTCTTATCTCCACTTAATAACACTGAAACTGAGGCTCGAAGAGGGGAGGTCTCTGCAAGGGACTGAGCAGTGAGTCATAGTCAGGCCTGCTCACTCCAAAGCCTGTTCTCATACTCCAAACTCCCCTCATTTTCCAGTAAAGCAGGAGAAAGGTTGTGTGGTGTCCAACACTGGCCTGGGGATGAGATGCCTGGTATTTGGAGAGAGCCTGCTTATAAAGACATTCCTGCTCCAGTCCCAAACCCTGGAGTCTGAGATAGCCCCACATGCTGTACCCATGAAGGACAGAGGGACTTACCCACTAGTTAACCACTTACTCCATTCAGGTTTGAATCCCTTCTCCACATTCTAAGTTTGAGTCATGTCTGGATCTTTTCTCAACTTTCCTCATTCTGGGCTGATGGGTCAGATATACCCAATGTTTCCAGTCTCCCTGGGTGACTCAGACTTCTGACTCTCTGTGATCTGGGGTCCCAGCTACCTGTCTGGACTCTTTATGGAGGTGCCAGGGAGACTATATGCAGTCCTAGCATGCCAGCCATCCTTCCCTACAGTTTGTCCTGCTGGACATAGGTGAGGTCTGAGATGGTAACAAGAAGAATGGCATTATCTACAGTGAGTTCTGGAAATTTTCAAACCAGTGAGGGATGGGACCATTGTGAGCTTTTGAGTCCCACATGTGCAGGGTAGTTAAAATATTAACAGAAATAGTGTAGCAGTTAGGGCACAGGGTTGAAATGCACCCATGCAGGTGGGATTCCCGGTACAATATGGTACCTGAAGCATTGCCAGGTGTAGCTTAGAGGCCCTCAGTCACACCAAGTGTGACCCTAGAGGTGCCCAGCCCTGCCCAGTGGCCCTGTGTCCCCAGCATCCCAGGATGAGAGCAGGTTCACATTCTCAAACCCTTGCATTGAACTGCTGGCTCAGCTGGCTAAGAATTTCTTCTAGTGGGGTTCCCAGGCCTTTGGAAGGGGCCCTCCTTTAAAATATGATAATTTAAATTCCTCTTGGCGTTTCTCGCACATTCATGGAGGTGCTGAACCAGTCGATCGTATTCCTCGTCAATGTTGTCAACAATGGCATCTTCCCATGCTGCCGCAATAGTACCAAAGAGTTCCCAGTTGGTGGCCATTCTGGGAGTTCTCTTTTTGAACTTTGCAGCCCTTTCTCCCCGCTCTGTGAAGTAGAATTTTGCACGAAGGAGACGGTGGTCCGATCCCGTTCGAAATTTTGGGACAACAGCGACATCAGTCAGGCAAAACCGTCGATTGAATATGATGTGGTCTATTTCGTTGTGGAATCGTCCACCGGGAGACTCCCATGTCCATCGTTTAGATTCTGCCTTCTGGAACTGTGAGTTACCATGAATGGTCTTGGTCGACATGATGAACTCAGACAGTCTCTCACCCTGTTCGTTCCATTCTAGGCCATGGGTCCCGATGTGAAGTTCTTCAGCTGATCTTCTAGGTCCTATCTTGGCATTAAAATCACCCACAATGATCTTGTAGAAGGTGTGGTCTTCTTTATAGAACTTCTCTAGCTCCATGTAGAACTTCTCGATTTCTCTTTCATCATAATGAGATGTTGGTGCGTAGACAACGAAGATAGAAACTGCAGGCAGTGAGCCACATCTATTCAAATGTAAACGTCCAATTCGGGTTGTTAGGCATTCGAATGAATCAATGCTCTTGGCCAAGTTCGTGTTGACAAGGACACCAACGCCTCCAACACCTCTTTTATCACATGTTCCGAAGAACAATTCTTCTCCAGTGTCGAAAACGGCCACAAAAAGTCGCCTATCTTCGAAAACTCTTGAGCTAATTCGCCAGTGTGGTTTGGCGCATGCCTCAGGCAACCGCAAGCTAATGTCCGAGCTCGCAAAGCAGTGCAGAGATGCGATCAAGGAAGACCTCAAAGAGAGAAGAGCAAAAGTACTGGTAGATGCGGCAGAAGCCGGGAAAAGTATTCGTAACACCCGCCTGTCCTTCGCCAACTACAAGACCAAGATGACTGCCCTCCGACGTCCTGATGGATCCATCACATCCTCCAGAACGGCAATGGAGAAGATTATCCATGACTTCTACTCAAATCTCTTCGATAGCCATGTCCACTTGCCGACATACCAAATTCCACAGGATGGGTATGTCGTTCCCAACGTTCTCCCTTCCGAAATCCGACACGCCATTTTGTCGGTAAAGAAACAAACAGCACCCGGCCCAGACAAGGTCAGACCTGAACACCTGAAGAACCTGCCATCAGTACTCATCAATACACTGGCTCGGCTCTTCACTCGCTACCTGTCTGAATGCAAGGTTCCGTCCCAATGGAAAACCAGCAGGACCGTACTACTGTTCAAGAAGGGAGACATCCATGACATTGGCAACTATCGCCCGATCTGCCTATTGTCTGTCATCTACAAGTTGTTCACTCGAGTCATCCTGAATAGGATTGGCAGAACACTAGATGAAGGACAACCATGCAAGCAAGCAGGGTTCCGCAAAGGATTCAGCACCATCGACCATATCCACACGATAACCAAGCTCATTGAGGTTTCTCGGGAGTTCAAGATGCCGCTCTGCTTAACGTTCATTGATTTAAAGAAGGCCTTTGATTCTGTTGAGACAGAAGCGGTCATTGAAGCCCTAGCCAATCAGGGCATTCAAGCCCAATACATCAGGATCCTCCGTGAGCTGTATTGCGGATTCACTACCAGGATCTCACCATTCTACAAAGAAGTGATCGTTGATGTCAAGAGAGGGGTGCGGCAGGGTGATACCATTTCACCGAAACTCTTCAGTGCCACCCTCGAGAACATCATGCGACGACTGGAATGGGAAGGAATGGGAGTGAAGATAGATGGTCGGCAACTACACCACCTCCGCTTTGCTGATGACATTGTTTTAATAACACCAAACATCAGCCAAGCGGCACAAATGCTGGCCGACTTTGACCGTGAGTGTGGAAAGGTAGGACTACAGCTGAATCTTACGAAGACAATGTTTATGAGAAACAGCCTTGTTCCTGACGCCCCATTCGCTCTCAATGGAACCACCATCTCCGAATGCAACAGCTATGTGTACCTAGGTCGAGAGGTCAACATGACAAATGACCTGGCACCCGAGCTGCGCAGGAGGAAGAGAGCGGCTTGGAACGCCTTCAAGAACGTCCAAGAAATAGCTAAGAGGACGAAGAACCTCCGGCTCCGGGCACATCTCTTTGATTCCACTGTTCTTCCTGCATTAACATATGCCTCAGAGACCTGGGCCCTACGCAAACAAGATGAGAACGCTATTCAGGTCTCCCAAAGAAGAATAGAAAGAGCTATGCTTGGAATATCACGTTTCACTCAAATGAGAGAACGAATCCGGAGTTCTGACATCCGTCGACGATCAAGGATCAGGGACGCTGTCTCATTTGCCAAGGTGTCGAAAATCAGATGGGCTGGTCACGTAATGAGATTTAAAGACGACCGTTGGACTAGAGCTGTTACTGATTGGATTCCACGGGATGTCAAGAGACCGCGTGGCCGCCCACCTACCAGATGGTCAGACTTCTTTGTCAAGATCATGAACGATCGGCTTGAGGCCCTTCATGTTCCCAGAGCGAACAGATGCCATTGGGCTACACTAGCACGCGACAGGGACAAATGGAGACGTTACTGGCGCCCGCTCGAGCAAATCGATGACTAACGGGAAGTTAAGTGATTAAGTGATTAAAATTTAAATTCCTATCTTCTCTTCACTTTAAAAATATGTGTTAGGGGCTGGAGAGATAGCACAGCAGGCAGGGCATTTGCCTTGCACATGGCAGACCCGGGTTCGATGCCCAGCATCCCATATGGTTCCCTGAGCACCGCCAGGAGTTATTCCTGAGTGCAGAGCCAGGAGTAACCCCTGTGCATCGCTGGGTGTGACCCAAAAAAGAAAAAAATATATATGTATAAATATTAAGTCACCATTTATAACTACTACAAGGCACAATGTGTATTTTAAAATCTGAAAGCAACATTAGGAAGCATGAACTGATATTCTTCACAGATAGAAGCTCAGAAGAGTTAGTACAATGCCCTCAGGTCACATAGCATAAACACTAAGGAGAAGAACTTAAAATTCAGAAGCACTGACCAATTCTAATGTCTAGATTTTCAACCTATCAGTGCAAAACTAGGAGAGGGTCTCTGCTTCTGCTCATCTTACCACCTCAGTAGTGATTATAATCATGAAAACAGAATGAAGTAAAAATCAGAATTGTGCAGTATTGGACTAATGGAAAGAGTCAGGCAATGCTAAGCCTAATTCCCAGTGGCACCCAGTTGGAGTGTGTGTACAGTTGAAAGTGTGTGGACTTGCACAAATTTCCTAGCCTCTCTGGAGTCATGCTTATCTCTCTATAAAATAACAATACTTGCAACAGGATTGTTATGAACAATCAAATATTGCTCCTGGCACATAATAATTGCTAAATAAACAACAGACATTCAACAAGAATTTATTAAGGACTAACAGTATGTCAACAGATGCCCCTAAAGAGAGGCCGAATGTTGATTGGCCTGTGTCACCTTTTTCCCATGTTGTGGCCCATCCCTAGAACCACCATTTAAAAGAAAAATCAGAATAATCAAGACTCACGGGATAAGAGCCTTTCTTGGAACTTTGATGTGATCATTTGGGTTGTAATAACCGGGTCCTGGGCCTGCAGTCATAATTTTAAGTCCACGGTCAGTCTTAGATTTAAAGCAAGATATTAACATCTTCGGTGACTGCTTCACCAGAGATTCATTGATGTCATATTGCCCTGAGCAGAAAAAAATGCATAATAGAATGAAAAACTCTTAGCAAAACAATATAATACTACTTTACACCTAGGAAGACATTTAATGACTCGAAGGTAACCAAGAGGCTCAGATGAAAGTGCTCCTGAAATAACTAAACCCAATTTTTCTTTAGCTATTTAGGGAGCAAAGGCTATGTGCTTCACATCAGTTATTCAACCCCATAGCAATCCATAAAAACGGTTTCCACTTCAGTTTAAAACAGACTCACAAATAGTAAATAATTTGCCCGAAGATATTTGTCTAACTAGAGACTAGTCTAGTTCTTTCTCTTTAAAGAATATTCATTCTTCCCCCAGACTAGATAGTTATGAGAGTTAAACAATTTCTTAGGTTCCTGGAACATAGTTGTTGTTTAGTAAATACATGCAACCAACAAGTATTTATTGAGCAGCTACTGGTGAGCCCAGGAGCATTTATTTCCAAAGTCCAAGTTTTTCCAAGAAGCTGTATCAAAATCTGACACAGATTAAAATCATGTTGACAGGGACTGGAGAGATAATACAGTAGAACGGTGCTTGCCTTGCATGCAGCTGACCCAGATTCAATCCCCGGTACTAAATATAGTTCCTAGCATTACCAGGAGTAATTCCTGTATGCAAAGCCAGGAGTTACCCCTTAAGAACTGCTGGGTGTAGCTAAAATCTGAAATAAAGTAAAATACTGTGACAGTACACAAGCCTTCAAGGAAAAAAAAAGAATGAGTTGAACCAGGGGAAGAGGTAGAGTTTCCCTCTAAATTGTCAGTAGCCGGAGCTGGAGTGATAGCACAGTGGGTGGGGCATTTGCCTTGCATGCCGCCGAACCGGGTTCAATTCCCAGCATCCCATATGGTCCCCCGAGCATCGCCAGGAGTAATTCCTGAGTGCAGAGCCAGGAGTAACCCCTGTGCACCGCCAGGTATGACCCAAAAAGCAAAAAAAATAAATAAATAAAATAAAATAAATAAATAGTCAGTAGCCCTGTGCAGGCATTCTGAAGTACTGAAGATATATGTGCTCCCTAGCATAAGGTGTATACCATGCAGTAGCCACAGCATAGAAATGATGAAAGTCCAAGTAAAAATGGGCACAGCTGTGGCCACAGTATTGTCCAATTTGGTAGAATGTCAGTCATGATGATGATATATACAAAACCATCAGGCCACATGGCAATGTTTTGGAAATGACGGTGAATGTGGGACTTAGGAGCTTGCTCAAAGGCCTTGAGTGTGTGCTTTTGCATGTAAAAGTCCTAGTTTTTTTTTTTATTTGGTTTTTGTTTGGGGGCCATACCTGGTGGTTATCAGGGATTACTCCTGGCTCTGTGCTCAGAAGTCACTCCTGACAGGGTCCCGAAAACCATATGGGGTACTGGGGATTAAACCCTGGTTGGCTGCTTGCAAGGAAAGCACCTTAACCCCTGTACTCTCTCTCCAGACCCAAAAGCTCTGGGTTTGATTCCCAACACTTCATGGTCCATGGAAGGAAGGAAGGAAGGAAGGAAGGAAGGAAGGAAGGAAGGAAGGAAGGAAGGAAGGAAGGAAGGAAGGAAGGACATAAAGCCTGAAAGTCTATATATACTCTGATGACATCTATGCAAACTAGAAGGAAATATGAATAAAAATATGAAGAACCCAAAAAAGTGGAAAGAATTTTGTCAGTGATATCTGTGAGTGGGGAAAATAGTTCATATTTCATCAAAATAAAATGTACTTCTCTAAAGCAAAAGTACTGAGAACAAAAGTCTGGAATATATTGGCAAGACTGTACTGAAAGGGGGAACAGCTGCCTTAGAGAAGCAGAAAGAGAAATTATCCGTGTGCTGAAGAGCAATTTGGCCATAAATGTAAAACTCTTGAAATATTTTATATACCGTTTGTCTTAGTAACTTTAAGCAAATTACATAAGAAAATAATCTGGATTGGGCTGAAGCGATAGCACAGCGGGTAGGGCGTTTGCCTTGCACGCGGCTGACCGGGTTTAATTCCTCTGCCCCTCTTGGAGAGCCTGCAAGTTACCGAGAGTATCTTGTCTGCTCAGCAGAGCCTGGCAAGCTCCCAGTGGTGCATTCAATATACCAAAAACAGTAACAACAAGTCTCACAATGGAGACATTACTGGTGCCCGTTTGAGCAAATTGATGAACAACGGGAGGACAGTGCTATAGTGCTATACGTTAAGCCATGAGCAACAAATGAAAACCACTCTACATTATGTATATTAGTCCTTCATTCAAAATGACCTAACTTTCCTCCAAGAGGGCATCTATCCCTTCCTTATGGTGCTACCACACAAGGGAATACTATGCATTCATTAAAGAAATGTTCTAGAAGGACTTTCATCACACTAAAAGGTATTTCAAAAAATAAATAAAAAATAATTCAATATATGCCAACATTTTTCTTAAAGCAGATGCCCAGCTAGTGGCATTTCTAAATTTTATTTTGTTTTGTGTTTTTTATTTTTGGGTCACACTTAGCAGTGCTCAGGGCTTACTCCTGGCTCTGTGTTCAGGGATCACTTCTGGTGGGCTTGGGGGACTCTCTATGGTACTGGGGGTCAAACCCAGGTTAGCCTCATGTAAGGCATGTTCCCTATTGTACTATTTCTCCGGCCCCCATATTTCTAATACTGGTCTGTATCTCTCATATTACCTTTGCTACTTTACACACACACACACACACACACACACACACACCACAAGCACAATTTCCCCTCTGCTTTAAAAAATGGGTAAAGCAATGCTTGATCATAAAACACTTTAAATCAGAAACAAGGGGAAAAGGCATTCAATCTCCCATTCACCAGAGAAAATCAAGGTTAATATTCCCATATATTTACTTCCTCCCTTTCCTGAGTGTAGTTAGTTGTTTTGATTTCACAGTGTAGAATTCACAGTGTGGGTTCCGTTCTATAACCCACAATTTTCAAGTGACAATTTAATAGAGGCATCTCCCCATGTTCTAATAACCTTATTTATTTATTTCATTACTGTGGGGACCACACCTGGTAGGGCTGGAGGTGGGGGTCATGTGCTTCCGGGGAAGGAACCCAGGGCTCACACATGAAAGGTATGTGCTCGACCACTTGAGCCACATGCCTGGGCCCAACCCTTGTTTTTTCTTTCATTGGCATGTCTAAATTTAGAAAATCCAACCAGCACATGTAAAAAGTGAGTGTTTGACTAAGAATGGACTGTAGGCCTGACCTGGCACTTGGCAACTGAGTCGGGTCACTCAGGGCTTTTGGAATACAGTAGGGAGGCCAACTACTGTCGCAAAACCCACAAATCTGGCAAAACCCACAGGATTATTCCTGAGAGGTGAGAGCAGCTTGTTTCCAGCTGAGGGACAGTGTCCCTAGGCACTGGCTTCCGGGACAAGTCAAGAGTAACAAGGGTAACTGAAAGTACCAGACATCAAATCCCCTAGGCCTGGATTCAAATCCAGCTAAGGAACCTTGGGCAAGTTATCTGCCTTCTCTGTATCACTTTCATATGTAAAATGTATAATAATAATAATAATAATAGCTCACACTGAGCTCATAAATGTGATGGCATAGAACACAGTAAAAACTTAACCTGTACTAGTGCCTTGCCCCCTCCCACTCTGATATAAGGAGCTGGGCTCCTCAGGACCCTGCCAGCAGGAAGGGGCACATGTGGCTTGCTGTGAGGGAGCCACATCCCTGGGCTCACAGGCAGGGCCTCTGGCCAAACCTCAGGGATGCTGGCTTTGTTCTCCTGTATAAACAAACAAGGTGGGGTTTTGCCCATAGATGATGCAAGGCAGGGGAGCTTTAGCTGGGGCTTAGCCTCCTAATTAGGGCTGGTTTTGTTATTCAGCTTCAGACTGATCTTCTCAACTTTAATCTGGATTTGCTGAAATCTGACATGCACTGCAATTTTATCCACATGCCTCCTCCAAGAGGCGTGATTAAGTGGCAAACCTTGATGGCCTTTACCTCTGGCCTTTACCTCTTGGCTCTGGGACCCACGGCTCCCCCAGGGGATCTTGGAGACCTATTAGAGAAGGTCTAATATAGTGAGCACAGTGTTTCCACATCCTTCTAGAAATTTCTCTAAGGCTGGAAGCAGTGGAGAAGATTTGAGGCCTGCAACACCTCCTCTCACACCCAGGAGGCAAGTGTTTATATCATCCTGAATCCTCGCAATTGCAGGATTATTTATACGATAAAATGACATGGGGTGGGGACGGTGGGGTGGGGGTCTGCAGTGTCCTCAGTCAGACCCCTCTAGCCTAGGTCTATTGTTGATTAGCCTCAAGATGCTGAAGCGGTCACTATGACTCATCGGAAAACAGGACTGTGAGCATGGTCCTGTGAGGAGAGGGGGTGGATGCCATGGAAACACTTAGGCCAGAGTAGGGCTTCAAAAATGGAACTATCTGCCATCATTTGGTGGCAAGGTGATGATGAGAAGGGAAACTACAGTGGTGAGTGTGAGAATCTGGCAGAGTGTGGCACCTTCTGTCCCCCAGTGGTCTAAGGGCACCATGGGGAGATGACAACACATTTCTGATGTGAGAAGCAACATCCAACTTGGCAGCCTGAAGCAGATGTGCTCAGAACAAAAGGGAGCCCAAGACTGGGGCACCATTTCCAGACCCAACCATTTGGCCTTTGCAGAGGAGAGCAGGTCTCCCAACCAATGCCTACTGCCACTGCTCCATTCCCAAAGCCTAAGGGACTCCCTCAGAAGGAACACATATCCGTAGATCAGATCTGGCACATTGACCTTTCAGTCAAGTGCAGAGTAGCCACTTACCTGGGGCAGGTCCTGATCCAGGACTCCTGAAAAATTCTCTTTTCGTTTTTGACATAAACCCAGCTCGGGCACAGACATTGTTGTTCTGCTTACAAATAGTGATGGAGGTCTGCAGGGGGAGAAAAAGAAGCGTGTTATGCTCCATGCCGACCTGCCTTTGACATTGTGTCTTTGAGTAACAAATTTGGGTTAAAAAAATCAAATTTATGGCCAAAGAAGATTTCCCCAAACGTTGAAGCATATGCTTTGCATGGGGGAGCACAGAGTTTGATCCCCTACACCATGCAGTTCCCCAAGCAGTTCTGAGAGTGGTCTCTGAACAGTGTTGAGCATAGTCTGCAAAGGAAAAGAAATAAACCTGTCTGCATCAACACAGCAGAAAGGGCTACAGCAATTGTGCCCTTCTAACCACTTGCTTGCATGGTAGCGGAGTGCTTGACCTCCAGTAGCTGTCTGGGGACCCAACATGGCACTGAGACCAGTGTCCAAAGAACTCTGAGCACAGAGCATGTGATTCTGCACAAACTTTTGATGCCTCCAAGTGGAGTTTTCTCTCCTGTAAAGATAAATCAGGTACTGGAGCAATAGTACAGCAGGTAGGACATTTGCCTTGCACATGGCTGACCCAGGTTCGATCCCTGGCATCCCATACGGTCCCCCATGAGTGATTCCTGAGAGCAGAGTCAGGAGTAACCCCTGAGCATTTCCAGATGTGACCCCCCCCAAAAAAAACAAACAAAATGAATCAGCTAACTCCTGCCGATTGAAGGCACATGGTAGAGTGGGCATTAGAAATCACTGACAGGACAGTGTTATTTTTGAAGTGTGTAATACTACACATACAAATTCTTCTTCTTCTTCTTCTTCTTCTTATTATTATTATTATTGTTGTTATTGTTGTTATTATTATTATTGTTGTTATTATTATTATTATTATTCCTTTGGAGGGGCAGTGCTCAGGGCTTACTCCTGGCTCTGTGCTCAGGGATCTCTCCTCATGGTGCTTGCAGGACCATGTATGGTGCTTTGATTAGAACTCGGGTCAGCTCTTTGTAATGCAAGCACCTTAACCCCTGTACTATCAGGCCCCTAATTTTTATAATCCTTCCTGGACACAATTCTACATATCCTCATCTATTTATTCCACATATCCCCACCCTGATTTCTTGCTATTTAAACAATCCTTCTATAATCGCAGGATTTGGAACATGACAGGGATTCGTGTAATTTAGGATTATGATCAGATTCATCAGCAAACTCTTGTCTCGACTTGTCTCGACTGACCAGAATGAAGAAGTTTACTTGATCCATATAACATACCTTTGAAAGTGTCCAGTGTGTTTAGAACTCAAAGTAACAGGGTTAAAAAATAAACAAAAACTGAGATTGTTAGTATGTTACACATGAATCATAAATATTTTAGATGCCAATTTCGGTCTCTGGTATTTATTAGATCAAAGATGTAATAAAAATTGTCCCAGCAATGGCTGGAAATATTTACTGAATGAGTGAAACTATTTGCCAGGGCCAAGATAGTTTGATTTTCTGTGATACCCCTTTGTCAAAAAAAAACGTTCTGAAGAAATGCAGATGGCATTTTGATTTTGTGTTTACAAAGGCGGAGGAATTTAGCTTTTCCCAGGGTCCTAAATGACTAGACTGCATGCAGAGAGGGCAAACAAAAAAGATCAGATGGAGCAGACTAATTACTGGACAGAGGGAGAGGAGCCAGGTTGCCGGAGAGGAAGTAATAACACGGTACCACGGAAAAGCATTCGAACGGAGAAGTGAGGATCTTGGTGAGCGAAGGCACACAAAGGCCCTGACAGACCTCAATGCAGAGTGTGGCTAACAGGATTAGCATGCTTCTACTCCTCGACAGTTGACTCAACCATTGTTCTCTGGGTCTGAAAAAGAGCCCCCTGTAGACAAAACAGTATTTCAGCTTTATTCCTCACCCAGACAGAAAAGCAATGAGAAAAAAAGTTGGGGGGAGCATTTTGTATATTCTGAGTGTGTGGAAGGTTTCACTGTGAGACGAACAAACTAGTCAGCTCCTCTGGCAGGTTAGAGAATAATGAAGCAGATTTATTGTGCACACACGAGGGAAAAACAATCCAAGACAGAGTTCAGCAGAGAATGCTCATGCCTAGTGGAGAATGGTGTAATCCTTGCAGGGAGGAAAAGAATGTGCCAGACATTGCACCTGGATTTTGATGGTGGTTTGCTTTGAAAGCAAAGTATTGAGGACTTCTAGTTGCTAGATTGTACTTTGCGATGAACGTTATTAGTTTTATTTATTTATTTTTTTTATAATTTATTTCTTTATTGAATCACTGTGGGAAAAGTTACAGAGCTTTCGGGTTTAGGTCTCAGTCATGTAAGTATCAAACACATTTCCCTTTACCAATACTTATTTTTAACCATGAACCCCAATAGAACCCCACCTCCCACCCCTCCCAATTCCTGTGAGGCAGATGAGTTCTAGTTAATACTCTATCTACTTTGACTAGATACATTGTTTCGATAGAAGATGCACAATTATTGTTTAGAGTTTACGACCCCCCCCAATCAGATATGCTGAAACAGTGTTGTGAAATGGTTTGCTTTCTACAGCTTGGTTTAAGAATAAAATGATGTTGCGCGGCCGCAATAGCGGCCGCGTGGTTTTGGATTTCTGCTGTTTTACTTATTAACCCTGGAAGTATTTCTATTAAAAGTTAGATAGTTAAGAGATTGGTTTCTGTGCTCTGGAGTCTGTGTGCTCTGTGCCGGAGAGCCGCTCGTGAGGGGCAGCTGGTGACCTCGGTCGGGCGTGAAGGACGGCCCAGAACGCCCCCCTTCCCATGAGGCCCCTGCCGCCCCCCGCCCCCAGCTCAAACCTGCTGTCCACAAGGCTCCCGTGCGGCCGCCATCTTTCTTTCCAGAGAGGAGCGGGCGGCGAGACGTTATTAGTTTTAGAGCCAACAATAATGAAGAGGGAAACACGTGCTCTAAAACAGATCTCTTGGTTGGAGAACAGAGGACTTGAGAAATGGTCATTTCGAGATGAATACATGAATATGCCTGGGGATTTATTCCTATGATGCTGCAGCCTGCGTACTGCATTCTAGGACGGCACTCAAGCTCTGAAGATATGAGTCTGGGGAGCAGAGCAGAGAGGGGGGATGCACTAAGTGCAAATCTTTGGCTACAAAAGCAGGAGGACACAGAGGTGTAGTCACCTCAGGAAAGACAGTGCCTGTGACCACTTCCCAAGTGCCCTGACCCTCTCCCAGGGATAGCAAACGTGCGGTGGCCAAGAGTCTCCTTTATGGCTTTATTTTTGAAGAGAGAGGGCACAACTGGTGATGCTCAGAGGATACTCATGGCTCTGCACTAAGGAATTACTCCTGGAAGTGCTGGGGGGACCAAATCGGGTACGGGGAATTGAACACAGGTTAGCCACATGAAAAGCAAGCACCTGGAACCTGTATTACCATTCTAGCCCCAGAGTCACCCTTATGGCTTTCTTGGACCAGGCATGTTAGGAGAAGGTTCTAATTGATTTTCCAAAACCCACTTGCCCCACACTACAGCCCATTCTAATAGAATAGCTACTAGGAGCTTTTCTTTCTTTCTTTTTTTTTTTTTAAAAAAGTGTTTCAGATGACATCACCTACACTTTCAAGTCTACTCTCCCCTTCCTTCCCCAAAAACTTCCCAGTGAGTATGTAGCACTGTAGCATTGTCCTCCCGTTGTTCATTGATTTGCTCGAGCAGGCACCAGTAACATCTCCATTGTGAGACTTGTTACTGTTTTTGGCATATCCATAGGGAGCTTGCCAGGCTCTGCCGGGTGGGCAGATACTCTCGGTAGCTTGCTGGGCTCTCCGAGATGGGGTGGAAAAATCAAACTCGAGGTCAGCCACATGCAAGGCAAACACCCTACCTGCTGTTCTATCACTACAGCCCTGCGCATACACACACCCCCAAAACCCACAAAAACCCCTGATTCCATTTTCTGTTCTTGCCAAATAGGGGGAGGAACTTTGAAACTCAAACTTGGTGGTGTTCACGTTGGCAAAACTCTCAGGAAATTGAATCTCAATGGAGCCTTCAATAAGATTGATGTCGGCGAGCCCCACTGGTGGCTCATGTGAAGTGAGGAGGAGAAGATGGTCACTTTCTCCCCATCCTCCTCTGCCACCCAGGACCCAGGGTTACTGGGTTCTTGTCTCGCTTGCAGAAAAGAATTTCAGTGAAGTAAAACAGATTTTATTAGGAGGGTTTTTGAAGGGAAGGAGGGAAAGAAAGTAGGAGAGAGTGGAGAGTAAGAGAGACAGAGTAAGGCATTCAAGAGAGAATGCAGGCTTCTCCAAGGGCGTTGAGAGCCCCTGTACACAGCCCTGCATTAGATAGGAGAGCATAAAAGTACACATCTCAAGAGGGGAGATGTGGGCAATATATGTGCTCAGGCACTTGACCACGAGGACGCAAGCAGCACATGGGCTCACAAGCAGCACATGGGTTCGGGCAGCATATGAGCGCATATGCTGCCCAGTAAGTATACAGTGGATAAAATTAGAACTCCTACCTGGTTTCTTTAGGATCCCGCATGAATTGGACCCTAACTATCTGTCTGGCTCTTCCTCCTCTTGTCTTCTCTAGTTCATGCTACTCTAGCTACCATCTTGTAGATTACCCTAGGCTTAGATGGTCTGCTGTCCCAGGACCTTTGCATATACTATTCCCCAAAGCTGACTCTCTTCAATCCTTGCCTGAGGACCAGTACTTGGTGCTGCAACCTCCCATATTTTCTTCTTCAGGTTAGCTGGCCACAGTCTAATTATCTGTTTGCAAATGCTTGCTGACTTCCCCTCAAGAATCTAGCAGGTTTGTTTTTTTTAATAATGTAGGAGTACTGCTATTTATTCAACCATTAATTAAACTGATTGAATTGGGCATGAACGCCATATTACTTTAAAAAAATTTTTTAATTGAATATCCATTTGGTAGACCATTACAAAGTTGTTCATAATTGGATTTAAGTCATATAATGATCCAGCACCAATTCCTCCACCAGTGTACATTTCCCACCACCAATGTCCCCGTTTCCCCAACACCATCCCCCACCCCCAGCCTCCCTCTATGGGAGGCACTTTGCTTCTTTCTCTCTCTCTCCTTTTCCTTTTATGCATTATGGTTTGCAATACATGTGCTAAGAGGTCATGGTGTTTGTTCAGGGTATTTGGTATTTTTATCGGGATAGTAAAGCTGGAGTAACTTTTCAACTGGGTGGCACCTTTGACGTGTGGATGTGACTGCCGAGGCTTCCAGAAGTACAGGGAGGTGTGGGGAGGTAACCCATCCCAACACCGAGAAAGCCTGGAGATTTCAGTCACAAAGCCTGTATGCCAAAATTTTCAACAGTAGAATCTAGCAGTTTCACTGATCTGGCACAGACTGCCCACAGAGCCCACAGCCGGAAGCCCAGTGGTATGTTGGGGACACAGTAACTCTGATGGTTTATCAACTTTTCACCTGAGCCATCTACCTGTGCCCACTGATGTGTCAATGGTGTCTGCACCTCTCTGATTCTCAGCTTCCTCGTTTCAAAACTGAGAGCAAGATAATTCATTGCATGGATTCTTATGAATATTAAGGAAGATGAGGACATGCAAATCTTAGAACACAGGCCGTTAAAAGTGCTTAATTATCATCCCCATCATTATCATCATCATCATCACATCATCATCTTTATTTTTGGCTCTGACATCCTCAGGGAAAGACTATACAGAGCTGATCTCTCCAACAGTCACCCCTGGCCACAATGTGACTATTGCACAGTGGAAAACCTGATTGGCCCTAATAAAGAGGTGTTGCAAATATAAAATAAATACTAGACTTTACAGACTTAGTGTAACAAAAATAATGTAAAATATACAATAATAATTTTATATTTATGTGATAATATTTTGGATATACCGGGTTGGATATAATATAGCAATATAATTAAATTCGCTTGTTGCCTTTTTTACTTTGAAATATGGCTGCCAGGAAAATCTAAATGATGTTTGTGGCCCCAACACATTTCTATGGACAGTGCTGACCTAACAGAGATTTATATGAATTACAATTGATTTAATAAATCATAGAAGGTAAGCAGGATCTTTGTAGTCAGAAAGTATTAATTAATCAGTAATTACTAATATTAAAAGTAGTAATCAGTAATTACTAATATTAAAAGTATTACTGATAAATACACAATAAAAATTAGGTATTTCTGGGGCTGGAGAGATAGCACAGTTGGTAGGGCATTTGCCTTGTACACGGCCGACCCGGGTTCGATTCCCAGCATCCCATATGGTTCTCTGAGCACCTCCAGGAGTGATTCCTGAGTGCAGAGCCAGGAGTAACCCCTGTGCATCACTGGGTATGACCCAAAAAACAAACAAAAAAAATTAGGTATTTCAAAACCAAAATATTTTAATCGCAACATAATATTAATGCCTTATGAACAAACCATGTCTTATGCATTTCACAATATTTCCCATTTATTTAAAATCTCATTGCTTCTTATAATAAACTTGTGGGGAAAGTGTAATTAATTCCATTTTATAATTGGGGATCAACAGGAACATAACTTCCCCAAGACAGCTCTGCTAATTTCCACGTGCTGTTCTTATATGTTAGGTGCAATGCTAAGCACTTAGCATAGGTTATTTTATTTAATATTTTCATTAACACTACTGAGTTTTTAACACTATGTCTATATATTCCCACTTCACAGAGCTATAAACACTACCATGGAAAGTGGCAGAGTCAAGTTGAACTAAATCTTCCTTAATTCATCTTTAACCATCAGTTATGTCATTCTGCTTCAGTGACTGCAGGTGATTATATTTTTCATAAGACTTAAAAAATATTTTCTAATGAGAGATGGCTTATTTTCACTGCAAGAATCTAACATAAAATTAATCATGTATACAGGTAAAGTGGTAAAAAAAGATAATCATTGATCCAAATGAAAACACTGTCTCAGAAAGGTTACATGACAGGACGGATTAAAATAAGGATTTTCACCATAGATTGGCTTGGTGGTCTTTGGAACCACATCCTCTGTCCCTGGCACTGAAGTACCAGCATGATTGATCATCACCAAATTTAATCCCTAAGTCCTCTGAGCACCTCTTGGGAGCATCCCCCCCCAAAAAACAAATAAATAAATAATAAAACAGAATAATCATATCCCAGAGTAATGGTCAGCCCATTCTCTACACTGGCCCCCAGTTTGCCCAATTTTTTCTCTTGTTCTATAATTTCCCTATAACAGATTCCATAGTCTCATGCACCTATTGTGTAGTTGATAAATTAAATAGTAACTGGTTTGCCATTGCATAAAAAGGCTGTTTCCCAACCATCCCCTAAAGGCCCCCTCCCCCACCTTCCTTTCTTTTATTTCAGTCAACTGTTGAGTCAGTAAGTAGTAACCAGCATAAGCAATGTTCTTACATTGTAACGGTTTGGTGCAGGAGTTTCAAATCTGGGAACTCTTCTAGAGCCTGGCAACTGGAACATGCTGGAACAGGTAGTACTGAAATCTTTCTTTGAAACAAAATCTGATGGAATAGTGTATGTATTGGCAGCAGGGTATTTAGAAATTATGGTGTTCATCCTGGCACACTGTGAAGAGAAAACCGAAGGAATTTAAAAAAAGATGATTTCCAGCATCAGGCCTGAGACCATTTTATTACAGGCAAAAACTTCAACAAGTAAAAAGGCAAACTGACCTCAGGTCTTCAGAATTTGCTCTAGGTAATTTCAAGTTGAGACCTGTTTTAACTTTTGTAAACTTACTCAAATTATTCATCTTACATTTGACACTAGGCGAAAATAATTTTGCTGTGATTGCATTTCTATCCAATCCTATTTCAGGCCATGTACCCTGGGCTTATTGGCTATATAATTGGATAATTTACATGACAGGAAGCTTTAGGACTTTCTTCCTCAACCCAGTCTTTCCTTCTGAGTAGAACCTCCCATCTCGTTTCTAAGGTTAAATAATAGGAATTAAATCATTTAAATCTCCATGGGGCTTGGTGTCCACTCATGCCTTATAATCCCACCTAATGACTGAGCTCATAAAAATCAACAATATTTTTGCTGTTTCAACAGAAGCAATCCTGGTCCTTCCCGGAAGCCATGGCAACCTATTTTCAGTTTAAAAAACAAACAATCATTGTTTGCCAAATGAAGAGGGACAGAGGCCATAGAAACTAGATGATAACATCATTTTACCCTGGGACAACATGGCAAATATTGGAATCTGATAAAACAAAATAATCTTATTTTATGGCTTAAAGCTTGATAACATTGCTCTGAGTTTCCTCAGCTTCCCAGAATTTGGTAACTATAGAAGTGCAGAAAGTGGGGCAGGTAGTGGAAAGGCATTGGCCCCTGCCCCAATTCACTCTGCCGGGAAGCAGGGGTTCTCGGTATCCGGATTATGTATGTGGGTAGATATGCTGGCAGAGACAGGAGCGCTCCTGCCCAATCTCGGCTGCTCAGCAGCCACCCTGGGTTTGAGCTTGGGTCCTCTGAATCATTAGGAAGACATTAAGTTAACCAAATCTGTTGGTTAACTTAATACCCAAATGTGTTGCATGAGTTCTTGCATTTAATCCTCATGACAACCCTGGGTACTGATGTTAGGATTATTCCCACTTTGTAGGTGAGGACTCTGAAGTTCCTTGACTGGTTAATTGGTAGTACCAACGTTCTCACCCAGAGCGCTGTGTCCACTGTGCAGTGTGGATCAGATCCCCCAACCTGTGTGTCCATTTACATGAGCTGATGCAGGACTAGGGGCCGGGGTGGGGGTTAGGGGACAGAAGGCAGTCTGGTTCAAAAAGAATCATTCACCTCTGTATCCTTCACTGGTAGAGAGGCAGATTCTTTTCTTTTAACTTCCTTAAAAAGATGGCAAGGTGAGACTTTCCTTGGTAGCTACTTTGTAGTAAGTATATCCTGAATCACCCTATAGAATGGCAAGTATGTTTTTCAAAAGTATTTATGTCCCAAAGTAGGTGTCAATTCCATAAAGCTGTATTAATAGTAGCAGCAGTGACTGGCCCGTCAAGCCCTTGTCTCCCTTGAACATGGGTCTCACTTGCCTGTCTCTATATTTCTTTATTTCCACTCTGAAGAAGACTGTGTTCTCTCTTGAACACATATTTCTCTTTTTCTCTCCCCTCACATCTATCCAAATTAGACTTAAAGTAAAACTATTTTGCTTTAAAAATTAAAAAATAAATATGGTGTTTCACTAATAAAAATTTTAAAAAAGAAAGCTTTCCTTGTTAAAATTGAATAAATAAATAAATAAATAAATAATAGCAGTGCCAGGGGAAGAATTCCAAAATCAAATCAATTTGAAAAGTCTCAAATATCATACTTCTATTTTGAAGATTCATAATATTTAAAAACTCATAAGACAGGTGGAATTATTAAGCATGCTGAGAAATTCTACAGTAAAGAAACTTCGCTAGGGCTAAAAAGAAAGATCAAAGAGCTAGAACACATGCTTTGCTTGTGGGGAGTTCAGGTTCAATTCCCACATAGTCCTCCAAGAAACTGCTGGCAATGACCCTAGCCCTGAGCTGGGTGCAGTTCCTAAGCCTCACTGGTATTGCCCTCCTGCCCAAAACAAACAGAAAGAAACTTTCCAAACTTAGTCAGGAAGGCTTTGGGGCCTAGCATACCTGTTATTGTAACTTTTGGGGGAAACTGTTCTCAAAACTCTCCTATCAAGGCAAAGTTTCAGAAAGCATATAATCGAATTAGTCCCAGAATATAGCACTGTAACACTGTCCTCCCATTGTTCATCGATTTGCCGAAGTGGGCACCAGTAACGTCTCCATTGTGAGACTTGTTACTGTTTTTGGCATATCAAATATGCCACAGGGAGCTTGCCAGGCTCTGGCTGGCAGGTGGGTGGGATACACTCGGTAGCTTGCCAGGCTCTCCAAGAGGGGTGGAGGAATCAAACCGGGGTCAGCCTCACGCAAGGCAAATGCCCTGCCCACTGTGCTATTGCTCCAGTTACAGAATATAACTAAAGTAATGCTCCCTCCCAAACCTCCTTCCCCTCCTTGACTTTCCTTTATTTGCCAGACCTGTGGGCTCCAACCTTGAATATGCTGGCATTTACAAACCTCTTTCCAACATAGATAAAGTTTTCTGAAGACCACTCCTGCTTCCTGGCAAATAGTATAGAAACGTTATGAACAAGCTTGCTTTATTGAACTTCCTGGTAAAAATCATGAATTCTCAAGCAACGATTTAGAATACATTAATGAAACCCTTATATTATTTGGATTTAGAGAGATGACAGGTCCTCTCAAAAGGCTGGGTGTAGTAGTTCCAATAGTTACCAGGAAGTTTCTAAAATTTATAGCCCCACAGAGGTTTCTGATCAACCTCACCCACGACACTCCTAGGCATACCAGTGTCACTAAGACAGATCCATCTTTGATGAGGGCAAATTTTAATTCCCTCCAAATATTGGGCTCTGGAAACAAGATGCTCTGTCTGAAAGTCACTTAAATAAGACAGGGTTGCTTGTCCCGCCTCTGGCTTGTTCTCTCTTGAACATGTACTTTTCTGTCTCTCCCTTCACATTTCTATGACTTTCTTTCAATATTATTTTGCTTCAATAAAATAAAATAGCACAGTATGAAACTAGTATCCAGTTCGAAAAGGAACCAGGAAAAATGTGCAATCTGCTAACAGATTTCCACTAAAGTTTCCTGTCGAAGAACATATAAGAATGAGTTTATTAAAAAGATCCACATCCCCTTGTCCATCAAAAGGAAGCCTGGAAAACTTCATTTCTGATTTCTTTGGAATTTAGTCTGAATATTTCTTAATCTGAAAAGACCTGATAGGATTCTGTGATTCTCAGCTCTTCTCTAGGCCCCTCTCCTCCAGACCATCCACCCTCATCATTTGGAAAGTTTCTGTGTACAAAGCCTCACAAGAAGTGGATCATGTGCTCTGATTCAGTTCTTTCTTTGGCAGTGAGTAGGAAAGGGCAGTGGCACTATTTGGCAAAGATGTTCTCAGAGAGAAAACCTAGGTGTTGCAGGAAGTAATGTTTGTGACTCAGGTGGTAACAATCATAATATTTAGTATGTTTATAATGCTCTGCAGTTTCAAAGAGTATTTCACTCATTGCAGTGTTAATTTACACAGCGCCTTCAGGGAGTCTCCCACTTTCATGAGGTAAGTAGGACATAGAAGGGTGACGTGCTTGAGGTCACATCAAGAATCCACCGCTGAGTCAGGATTAGGTCTTAAATCTTGTCTTCTGTGCCATGGCAGCGTGAGATGGCACTTCTTTTGCCCGTGGCTTTTGAGTCTCTTTTTTTTTAAATTTTTTTTTAAAAAATTTGTATTAGTGAAACACCATTAGGTACAGTTGTAGACTTACAAATTTTTGTGCTTGGGTTTCAGTTATACAATGATCCAGTACCCATCCCTCCACCAGTGCCCATTCTCCATCATTTACATTTTTTAAAAAAAATTTTGTTAGTGAAACACCATGAGGTACAGTTGTAGATTTACAAATTTTTGTGCTTGGGTTTCAATTGTACAATGATCAAACACCCATCCCTCCACCAGTGCCCATTTCCCACCACCACTGCTTTGGGGAAAGAAAATGCTTAGAGGTGTGGTTGTTCTGTGAATTCACTTGAGGCAAGTGCAACCTCAAGTGCTTTGCTCACACGGAGTCAATGCTAAAGTTGGTTTGGTCCTTGAGTGTTCAGCTCTGCCAAACTTGAATTCCATTAAATGGCTGTATTCAGTGAGTCTTAAATGATCCCTTTGTGTATTTTTTTAATCAAAAGAAATTCCAATGTCAGAAATCATAATACATCTTTGCAAGAGATTATTATAACTTTTAAAGGGATAAGATGCAGTGGTTTTTTTAAGGCTAAAATATGGTCTTGCTTTCTTTTTTGCTTTCCTCTCTCTATTAGACTTATACTAGTTTGACTCTTTTACTAGTTTTCCTGCCAATTTATAAATATTTATTCTTATTCTTTTTTGTTTTGTTTTGGGTCACACCTGGCTCTGCTTTCAAAGATCACTCCTGGCAGGGCTCAGAGGGCTATTTGGGGTGCTGGGGATCATACTTGGGTCAGCCATGTGCAAAGCAAGCACCCTCTCCAGACCCTCAATTTATAAATATTTCAATAAAGGCTGTTCTGCTCATATGTGGTCAGGTATATTTGCATTTTCATCTAGCTTCTTGATAGAGATTTCCAAAAAGGCAAATATCCATATTTTATGAACAAGAGCAGTGGAGAGAAAAGATGATCACATTAATTTCAGGTACTTTGCTTGATTTTTTTCTCCTCCCAATAAATTTCTCAGTAACTAAACAACCCAATTAAACTAAGCCTTGTTAAACATATTAGAGGAAAATGTGTTCAGAGTAAAATCGTTTTCCTAGTTTGGCTAAAAGTCTCAGAAGAACATTCATGAGTCCATACCATGAAGACAAGATGTGTTTTGAATGATCTGAATATTTCTTTAGCTTACCTCCCCATTCTGGCATCAGGTGGCAACAGAAAACAACAACTATTTAAATACAGAGACTCCAATTGGCCTGCATACAATTTGAGAACATGGTTACTAATTAGATATAGGGGCCTTTTGGAGAAAAGGGTCTTTGGATCATTAGGACAGAATATGATTATCAACAAATGGAGGATATTGCTGTATAATATCCTGACTCAACCCTGAGGCAGGGTTCTCACCAGAGAAGGGAAAGCACACGTTCCTTTCTTAGACAACGAGACACTGTTGAACACTGGAGACTGGTGAATGATGTTGTAGAACCCAGGACCAGGAGTCTCATCCTAAAAGGGAAGAGAATGTGGCACCATCAGGACACAGTGAATTCCATTGTGTTTTCTGCAAGCTCTGCATCCATTAACACTAAGCCTCACTGTAATCCTCCTGCACAGGCACCACTTCACTGCTGACAGCCCGGCTCCACTGTCTTACATGCCCAGTCACCATCTCAGTTACCGAATGTAGAGGCTGGAATTCCAACCTCGATCTGGGACCTCCAAAGCCAGGCTCTGTCCTTTCTGTTCTACTGCATTCCAGAGGAACGCTGTGTTTTGTTTCTGTGCCATTAAAGAAACGAGCATAAAATGGGATACGAAGTGTGGCTGATGCGCTGGTCCTCGAATATCGATTGGGTCAGCCCAGCCCACAGGGAGAGAAGGTGACCGATTTCACGTTAACCACACCCCACCTGACTCAGCTTCCTCCTTAGCCTTTCAGAAGAGAAATCAGGGAGTGTTTCTGTTTATAAAGCAAAATGAAACAAAAACAACCTTCATCCCAAACAACACCGTTTCTAACTCTCAGACAAAAGAGGCAGGCAAGCTCACTGAGCTCAGGTGCTAAATGATACAGGCATGTTAGAGAGGAATAAACAGAAGCTTGAGTTCTGCTGGTGCAAGTAATTGGGCTTTCATCTTGTTTCCCATGCTATTTAGTAGGGGGAAATAAAGGATGACAGAGGCTGGCCAAACATGTGACATAAAATGGTAAGGATGTTCCACAGCCTCAAGTATTTCCTGGGTATCTACTTGGTGCCAAAAGCTTTTCTAGGGTGGTCTCACTTAATCCTTCAGTGAAGGAGGGATTACTGTGCCCATTTTATAGATGGAATCACTAAAGCCTGTGAAGTTAAATTTGCCCAAGATTCCACTGCGAGAAAAGCCAGTATCTGACTATAGTACAAAGCACATGGTATGCACAAGCCCTTTGCAGAAAAGGAAAAGCTCAGAGATTTTTGGTCCACAATTTGTAAGTGGTGAAGCCCAGACTTAAGCCCAGGCAACCTGATTCTATAGCATGCTTCACCCGAATCCCTACTGCCCAGGTCCATCTGTCTCTATCATTCCTTCTTCAGGGCGGAAGTTAAGCTTACAGCACCATCAGGGCCTTTAAGAACTTTCCAGTCTGGCGCAAGCAGTTTGTCTTTCTAGTTTAACACAAGGGAGAAGGCCATCAGAGCTATTAACAGGTTCTTCTGGACTAAATTTTCAAGGCAGTGAGTCCGTTGCGCCTTGTTCAGCAAGTGAGAGCTGGTTTCCACTTTATAGGTGGCAATGATCCCTGGTAGTGAGAGGGGGACTGTTGCAAGGGAGAACAATGCAGGCCTTGAAGGACACACCAGGACCAGACACACAGGCATTCTGGGTTGAGTTCAGAACCCTAGCCTCTGCAGATGTAAGAGTGTCTAGTGATACAAGAAAGAGATTTTTCTAAGGCACTATTTGCAAGTCCAGAATGTATTCATTGAAGAGTACTAGGGGCCAGGTACTTTACCTGCACTAACTCATGGAATTCCCATTTTAAAGATGAGAGGACAGAGTCCACAGAGTTAAGGCCTATGATCATATAGCCAGTAACTGTCAGAGCCAAAAATTGAACTCAGGAAGTCTCAACCTACCCGTTCAAACTAACTTTCAAAAGAGAATGAGTACATTAAAAGAAGGAGGAAGGGAGGGAAGTTCCAATGAGTTGTGAATTAGGAATTCAAGTCTCAGAATTGCTGCTCTCTACATGACCTTGACTATGTCAGCTTTAGTAAGCCACCTCTCTAGAACTCATTTTCTTTATTTGTAGATCTAAGAGACTGAACTATATCTCTGCTGTCTTTTAGTTTCCAGAGTCTACAGTGAGGAGAACTGAAGCAGAAAGCAGAAATACGACTCGTTGAAATATGACCAATGAAAATCTGTGTCCCTTGTTCCCAATTTATCGCCACACTCTCAATGCCAGCATCAGTTCACACAAATCTTCTGGGCATCTCTGTAGCCTGAGAAGCTAAGAATTTCAGATCAAACCATGTCTCTTATCACATCCTGTTCAGTTAAATTTGAACTTCAAAAAATTAGCAAACTGATTTTATATAAATATGTCCTGTGCAATATTGGGTAAATGCTGATAAAAAATAGCTGATTTTCATGTATTCAAATTTTGAAATTGACTGGGAATCTTCTATTTTTCTTTACTAAATCTGGCAGCCCTATCTTTAATCAGTTTTTGAATCTGCCACGTTGCAAACTTGTTGGAAACCATGCCAGAGAAGACAAGGATGCCACCAATTTGCCTGGAGGGAGAAAGTGCTACTTATTTGCTCTCAGACAGTGTCCAAGAAGAGTCTTTTACTCCTGCCATTGCTGGTGCTGGCCAGTGTCAGCTTGTGAAAGCAACAAGAAAATAATTTCAAAACTCTGTTAGTGGACATTGCCTCTTTTGCAAACCACAGCACCCAAAAGGAGAGAGAGAACAAGGGGGAATGCCCTGCCACAGAGGCAGGGTGGGATGGGGGGAAACAGGGGGTGGGAGGGATACTGGGATCGGTGGTGGAGAATGGGAACTGGCGGAGGGATGGGTATTCGATCATTGTATAACTGAAACCCAAGCACAAAAATTTGTAAATCTACAACTGTACCTCATGGAGTTTCACTAATAAAAATCTAAACAAACAAACAAACAGAAAACCTCTGTTAGTGGGAACTTAAAATTCACCAGGATAAGAGTATTTATACCACAGAACAGAGCTTTTTCTTTCTGGGGGTGAATAAGGTTGGAGGGAGCCACAGCCGGTGTTGCTCAGGGCTTGCTCTTGGCTCCATGCTCCTGCTCAGTGCTCCTGCCTCTGATACCTGCTGTGGGTGGCAAATAACTCTCTAGAAGGGACATAAAAATGCAGAGCCCTCACCTCTGGGATAGCAATTCATGTGACTAACATTTTCCTGACTTGAGTGAGTTGGAAGTCTCAGAGCATATCCTAGAGATCTGGAGTTCAAGTTTCATTGGTGTAAACTCAATCAGTCACCTACTGGTACCTTGGCTGAGACCAGAAGGCAAAAACCAAAGAAATAAAAATGGGTCTGAAGAGAGAGGTCAGAGAACTATTTCTTGGAGCTCCACTGACAGCTGTTGAATGTTGTCCTGGCAGCACTGGTCTCCTGTACCTGTCTCACAGTGTGAGGTTCCAGTGAGTCTGGAGATTCAGAGCAGGGCCAGCACTGCCAAGTCATGATCACCAGCTCTTTGGTCTTCAGCTGTCCACAACAGTCTGCTGGAGCCAGTTCCTACCCTTGGAGTTAGAAACATCAAAGGAAAGGCTGATCCATAGGTTTATGTGCTCCCATCCCCTACCCAACATATTTTTGGGTGACAATACTGGAAACGGGCTGGAGCGATAGCACAGCGGGTAGGGTGTTCGCCTTACAAGCGGCCAACATCGCCGACCCGAGTTCGATTCCTCCGCCCCTCTCGGAGAGCCCGGCAAGCTACCGAGAGTATTCGATATGCCAGACACAGTAACAACAAAGTCTCCAATGGAGACGTTACTGGGCCCGCTCGAGCAAATCGACGATCAACGGGAGGGCCTTTAATACTGGAAATGCACTTTGAGAGTACTTTAAAAGAATTGAAGTATCAAAAGGTCAGCCTTCACCTGTGACAAGGCTGGGAACCAGATAAGCAATCACTTAATCTAGAGTCAGTTTAGAGAGGTAAGGAGGAACGGGGGGGGGGGGGGGGGGGGGAAGCTTTTGCTTGGAGTCAATCACATCTTTCACAATCGAGATTTTTCTAGTACAGATTTCATAAATTCTGTCCAACAAATCCTTTCAGGTTTGACAAATCAGTGGTTTTCAAAAACCTTTGCCTATCTTGGAAAATGCAGTTCCTGCTGGGTCTTTGTTTAAAGATCACATTAAATTATCTTTTGATTCTTCAAAGATGTTTGAAGGGGCTGGAGAGATAGCACAGCGGGTAGGGCGTTTGCCTTGCACGCGGCCGACCCGGGTTTGATTCCCAGCATCCCATATGGTCCCCTGAGCACCGCCAGGAGTAACTCCTGAGTGCAGAGCCAGGAGTAACCCCTGTGCATCTCCAGGTGCGACCCAAAAAGAAACAAACAAACAAACAAAGATGTTTGAAGAATCTACTTTGGTCTTTTATGGGGATGACCATTGTTTTTCTTGTGCTCAGGAGTATACAAGAAGAGTGAAAATAGGAGTTTGCTAAAGTCCTAGAAGTATATAATGAAGAAGGGCATACCTGAAATAAATACTGAGCTCTATTCTATGACTTACTTACTGAAGGAATCGCATAAAAATTTGGGGTTTCTGAATAGCAATTCCTTTACAAATGCCTGTGGTCTTTGAGTCTTAGGATTAGGTATTCATACAGGTCATTGACTTATAGAAAGCCTTATTCAGTTTAAAGCATTCAAAGTGGTGAGGAGAGCATGGACCAGAAGAAAAGCCACCCACATCCTTTCTTTGGGCCTCCTCCAAATTGTGAACCTGCAAAGAGACAAGATCTATGGTCTTGATTCTATGCTCTAGCCTTCCACAAAGAACCCAGGAATGGGGGCCAGGATTGGCAGCAGTTTCAAGCAGCAAGTCCCCATCATCACAGATGGGCTTCGGCCTGAGGTGGTGTAACAGAAATGACCATTCTGCAAAGCATAGGGTTCAGGGGACATTTAAGATCTTCCAATTTAAACTGTCTATATAGCCTCCAGAAATCTGTATAAGATGATTTCCTCCTTTCTGCTTTCTCTCTCTGCCTAAACCCCACTTCTCACTCTGGCAAATTTCCACAACTCTGATCACGGTTGAAAACGGAAAGGTAACAAGCATATATTAAGCAAAAAAAAAAAAATAGGACTTACTTTATAAGAGTAAAGGGGGATGGCAAAAATGCAAAATCCCGAGAACCCTGATGAGACTGCAGGAAATCTCAACTGAATTCTATCAAGGAGATTGGTTGATAGACTCAAGGTGAAAAGTGGGAATGGGGAAAGTAAGGT